TTAGGTTGGTGACCCGAACAACCCTAATAGTTCACAACCAAACCCTCTTGAGTTGACTTTATTTTCGAGTTTCCAACCTAAAAAATATTAAACCCAACCCAAATTGAGAAAAAGTTGGTCGGGTTCTTAGGTGATAAGAACGCCCCTTATCATAACTCATTTATTTTAATATTGTTCAAATTCTATTTTTATTATTTAATTTAGAAAGTTTTAAAGTAAGTCTTATGTATGTTTCAAATATATCATATGATTAGAATTAGTATAATGATTGAATTAATCAAATAAATAATAAATGTTATAATTGATATGAAGGTGATATGAATATCTTTTCCAAGGTGGCATTTTGTCAGCTTTTTTTCTTTTATTTCTTTCTTCCTTAATCATAGCACAAAATCATGATAATAATAATAATATAAGTATAAAGAAGGGGCATTAAAAAAATATTCCACTTCCACATGGTATTGCACGAGCTCAAGTTCACATCCAGCACGTATTGTCAAAATTGCAACACGTGCACAGATATTGTTAGCTTCACAATTTCAAAGGTTACTAGAAAGAAGTTTCACACTCTTATAACAAACGTTTTTAAAGGCTACTATGAACAGGTTTTTCACACCCTTATAAGAAATGTTTCGTTTTCTTTTCAAATCGATGTGGAATCTTACAATCCACTCTCTTGGGAGCTAAGCGTCTCACAATCTACTCCTTGGGGGCCAGCGTCCTCGTGTTCACACCTAATAATTTTTGTGTAATCAACGTTTAATATGGGCAAAATCATGACACATTTTCTTCTGCTAGGCCTATCCCTTTAGAAAATGATATGAATGTCAAAAGGAGTGTGCTTTGAAATGATGATGAGAAGACAAGAAATGGTGGGTGGTTTGGAGAAAGGTTGAAAATGGTAAATTAAATGAAAGGAAGTTTGGGTAAGTAATTAAATTATGAGTAATGAGTGGTGAAAGGGTTTTTCATGATTATGATTTGATTTATTAAAGAGATATGTTTTTTAAGGCAAACAACTTTATCATTTATGATTTGAATTGAGTAGTTCAAATTGGTCGGAATTATCGAATTCTATGAATATCTTTACGAGTAATAACCGTGCATATAGATAACTATTAAATTTAAAATTTTAATAATTTTAAAATTTGTAAAACAATGAATCATATTGTAGCTGTCTCTTTTAATCAATTTTTTTTTTACGAGCAAAATGACAACCCGCCAATTTCACCTTTTACAAGGGAAAGAATAATCTTTTTCACTTAAAATTTACCATAGTATAGTTCGGAAAAAAAAAGAAGAAGAAAAAATTCTTTTATTTATTTATTTATTTTTTTAATTTAATCATTAGATTTGATCTAATCATGATAGGCCTAACCTTTTCGTCAAGGTCATTGGATCAAATTATGGCTCGTTTATCAAAGAAATCTTGCTTCCTCCGAGGCGATCATATCAATACTACTCGGTCTTTCAATCCTATCTTTTTTGGTTGGCTTACTTTTGAAATTTAAGTTGCAAAATTTCAAACATATACCAATTATGCTCTTCTTTAAGAACACGTAAGTATTAATTCAAATAATAATAAACATAAATTTATTCACAAAAAAGAAAAAATAAAATTATTGCAAATGATGGGTATGATATTAATATAATTAAGTAACAAGTTAGAAAGACTTTATCGATATGAATGTTGTTGTAATACCCGAGTAAATAAGAGTTACATAAATGAATCAAGACGATATCTAAATTAGAGCATTTCTCAGGATAAGAGGACTAAAAATGACTTTTAAAAAATTAAAAATTATTACATACACCTCTTTCTGAATCACTCTATCACAGAAGTTCTAAAGTTAAGTGTGTTTTGTTTCCAATTCTATACTGGATGATGTCTTGAAAATTATTAGGATGAGGACAAAACATGCTCTTCACTATTAAAGCTATCAGATGCTAAATCATGATGTCGTGTTGGTTTGTAGGGATAGTATTCACTCTTAGAAGCGATAAATATTCCTGAAACAACTCTTCGTGAGAAACACTCACACTCTTTGTAAAACATTTTGTAGAATACTATGCTTAACTGCTTGAGATTTATTGGGGGTGAAAATCTTGGAAATGTGAACTCTGGCTTAGACAATTTATTATTGGTTTGACTTTATTGGAGTAGTGATGATATTTTACAAGTGTCGACCATCAGATGCCTAATCCAAATTTTGAATCCTGATCTGAATCCTACATGGTCGACAAATGAAATAAAAAGAACTAATGCTGGATGGGAGTTCCATGTGACAGGAGTTTGGTCCTAGTTTTGGATGGCCATTTCCGTAGGCTTTTCTTGTAAAGAACGATTCGGTATTTAGAATTTTTATGGATACGCCAATGGGTTCGCATTTTGGCCTATAATGTTCAACAAAAAGTAGATACCCACAAAATAAATAAATAATGAAGGGCAGTCATCATTTTAGTTATCCGTTCGAATTATATAACTCAATTATTAAGAATCGTTGATATGATTATAGGTATGGTTATGTATGGTTCTTTGTTGTTAAAGCCATAAATTACGGTTCATGATCCCTTGTAGCGGATAATATCGTGGGTACGGTTTATTGTTCGTTGTGAGAGCAAGGGGTCCCAAAAGAAAACAAGGGAACCCCAATTGACAAAATGAAGTTTTAAAGACAAAACAATATGTATTACAGGCAGAGGCATTAGATTTGGCTTACCCATTTGCTCTCCATATTGTGCCTGCGGACACATGGCGCCCCAACTTCTCAAATTTGTCAATATTAATGTCTTTCCTTTCTATCAGAATTCCCTTCCTAACACCCCCATTGGCCAGTTGGTAAGGGGACATTGACACACCACCTCCCCCACTCCCCACGTTCGATTCCATATACTTCTTTTGTCCATTTCTCACTTCCCACGCTTACTTCACACGTCCGACCATGTAGCTGCCAGTTTTATATCGTTAAATATATGATATGTTCTTTCACGGGTCCGACGATGTAGCTGCTAGTTTTATATCATTAAATGTATGAAATATTTTTTCTCGAGTTCGATGATGTAGCTGTCGATTTTATATCGTTAAATGTATGAAATTATTAATTTAGATATTTAAAAAAAATTATTATTGAAAAAACGTAATTGAGTGGAATTGGGCTTTGGGGGACTCTTATTGGGCTTCGTATTCGAAGCCATGGCCTGAAATTGATTGAATTGGGCTAAGCCCAACTAGTTTCGGTATGGGCCTAATGGGCTTCGTAAGGTGCGATGGTTCCAAAGCAGGAGAGAATCTTGACATATGGCATAAAATATGAACACACATGGTGCAGCACATTTTATTTAATCACAATTAGTAGAGAATAATGTTAAATCAATGAAGTTTGCCAACTAAACTATCACTAATTAAGATTAGTTTGTTTACCTAACGATAGAAATTATACCAAATATATAATTCTTTCAATATTTATTAGTAATTTCTCAGCTCATTAATAATGACTCAATTATTTGATTCTATTTGTATTTTTTTTAAATAAAATAATTCAGTTGCTTATTATCTTAATTTTTATATATATTTTTTCTTTTGGATAAATTTGATAAATACGTAAATTCCATGAAATTGAAGATTATGTCATAAATCCGTGTTGAATAGTTTTAAAAAAAATGATAATAATAATAATAATAATTTAATTATATTGATTTTATGATTTAAATGCAATATTATGCTAACACGTGTGAACCATGACCACGTGACAATCCTCCTGCGTCCAGAAGGTAAATTTGTTTGAAATTATAATTTTAAAATTTGTTTTTTACTTTGTAAAAGTATTTATTTAAATGATTAATTAATTATTGTTTGTGCAGATTTAACAGCTGTTCGTGGAAAATGAAATTTTAGTAATTACCGTGGATTTTTATCATTTATAGGTAAAAAGTCTAATGGAACCAAATTTAACGACAAGTCGTCCAAGACCAATTGGGATTTGGAAAATGAGTTGACTTTGTTTAATGGGACGGTCCCATTGGAATTGATTGCATGGTGAAACTTTAGAACAATGTTTTAGACTTTTTGCAGGAAAACGGTTCTCCTTCTCAGCTTCCACGACCCAGCTACCGAGTCTTGTGTTGGATGATGAAAGTCCCACATCGGCTAATTTAGAGAATGATCATGAATTTATAATTCAGGAATACTCTTTCTATTGGTGTGAGGCCTTTCGAAAAAGTCCAAAGCAAAGCCACGAGAATTTATATTCAAAGTGGACAATATCATACCATTGTAGAGAATCGTGTTCGTCTAACGTCAAGACATAAAAAGGAAAAGAAAAAATAATATGAATGACAATAAAATAAACTAAAAATAAGAAAATATTTTATAATTGTTTTATTTTTCATCTTTCCACTAAATTTATAACTTAACTTCAAAGCTTATAAATAATTAGTTCAGAGAAATAAAAAAAAAAGTTAGATATTAATGAAAATTTAAAGTCAATAATATTTTTAAAACATTTTTAAAATTCCAAAAGTTATTTTTGAAAATACAAAAGAAAAAAAAAAAGATTGATAAAAGACATTTAATTAAAAATAAAAATAATGCGTAAAGAGATTTGGGCCGAAGAGAAAAGCCCATGAAAAGGGCGGAGGAAGCAATCCGGCGTCCGCCGTCCGGAAATTGCTAATTCCGAATTAATCAAAACTTTGGGTATGAAAACGAAATTCCAAAATAGATCAGAAATTAAAATAATAATAATAATAATAAAAAAAAAAAAAAAAAAAGAAGGAGGACACGGTCACGACTCAGCTGGATTGAGGTCGGCTTGAGCGAGTCAAACTGGAGCGCGTGGGCCCACATCCCAAACAATCAGTATTAATATATATATACCCACGTTATCTAACTGGAATTAGAGGGGAAAAAAAATACACCCAAAACCCATAAAACAAAAACACGCAGAATTTGGGAACTTTGGAATAATTTAATTTTTTTTGTTTAAAGATTCATAAACGACGACAAAGAGAAACGGCTCTCTCTGCCTTTTGCTCTGTGTTTTTTTTTTTTTTTTTTTTCTTGCTTTTGATTGATTCATCTCTATTGTAATTTCATCGTCTGGCACCAATCATTGTCGGAGACAGATAGATAGGCCACACACCACAGCCCTTCTTCTCGCCCTCCAATTCCTAGCCCTCGATTTTGGCCCGTTTCTTGTTTTCAATTCGATTCAATCTTTTAATCTCTTCTTTTCTCTCTTCCCCAATTATTCTCTCTCTCTCTTTTTTTTTTCTGCTCATTGTTGGTGTTACGGATCTCTCTCTCTCTGCGTACTTACTGAGAGAGAGAGGGCTAAGCAAACGCCTAAATACTTTCCGACTGAATCTGCTGATTTTCGCCGCCTTTCTCTGATTCTTCTTTAACTGAACCGCTGCCGCCGCTTCACCATTTCTGCTCAATCGATCTGCGTCGCGGAGTTCACTGCTTCTTCAATCGACGCTTCACCGGGGATATCTTAGCTTGGTATCCCAGGACCTAGTTTTGTTTTTTGTGTTTCTTTGAAAGAAAGAGAGAAATGTGGTGGATTATGGGTGAAGGTGGAGGCCATTACTGCTCCAAGAAATCCGATGATATCTGTGGCGAAGTTTGTGATCAGGTACTTACTATTTTTGCCCTTTGATCTGTTTCTTTTTCCTTTTTCTTTTCGGCTTGATTCAGTTTTCATCGTTGAGGAATTTTGTTTATGATTTGTGTCTTGTTTTTTGTTCGCTGTTCGAGTTTTTTTTTTTTTTTTTTTTTTTTG